AGTCGTGTTCCTGGGCTGAAGAAACTCCAAGGAGGCTAGTCCCTAGGACAGTGGTCAGCAAACTGCGGCTCGGCAAACCACGGCTTGCGAGCCACATGTGGCTCTTTGGCCCCTTGAGTGTGGCTCTTCCACAAAATACCGACTTCTGCGCATGGGCCACGAAGTTTCAATCGCACTGTACATGCACGCCCACACATGCATGGTATTTTGTGGAAGAGCCACACTCAAGGGGCCAAAGAACTGCATGTGGCTCGTGAGCCAAGGTTTGCCGACCACAGCCCTAGGGAGAGGAAGCCAGGCGTTGCTACATGATGTCATTACCTGGTGCCCACAGCCACCATTTCTGGGCTGGGCTGGGCTGTGGGCTGCATTTTGCACCATGGGGTCTCGGCAGTGTCAGCTGTGATTTGGTGAGCTGTCGCTCCGGGGTGGTGTTGGGGCCTGTGTCCCACTTAGGGGAAGCTGAATGTTGGTTTGTCAGTGCCAGGTCCGTGGTGCCGTTTCTGTGTAAATGACCAGTGCGTGTCACGACAGCTCCTGTGTTGAGTGTCTGCCCCCTGCGGGTCAGTGCACATCATAGTGACCGGTCGGAAGGTCGGACTACTTAGCATATTCGCCTTTTATATCTATAGATATCATATATATATGCTATATCCTATATATAGGATATATATTCTATATATGTATGTATATACAAAAGGAGATTTATTTTGAGGAATTGGCTCATGCAGGTGTGGAGGCTGAGAAGTCCCACAATCTGCTGTCTGCAAGCTGGAGGCCTAGGAAAGCCAGTGGTGTAATTCAAGTCTGAGTCTGAGGCCTGAGAACCAGGGGAACCAATGGGATAAATCTCAGTTCAAGGACAGGTGAAGACTAACAGACAAATGTCCCAGCTCAGGTACACAACCAAGAAGGGATTGAATTCTCCCTTTTCCTGATTTTTATTCTATTCAGGCCCTCAGTGGATTGAATGGTGCCCACTCATATCAGAGAGGGGAGCAATATACAGTTGACTCTTGAACAATATGGGTTTGAACTGCACTGATCCACTTATACTTGGATTTTTAAAAAATAAACATAGAGTCAGCTCTCCTTATTCCTGAGTTTCATTCTGCAGATTCAACCAACCACCAAGGATCTAAAACAGTATTTTTTGATCCGTGCTTGGGAATCCACAGGAAGTGGGGCTGACTGTTTGCATTATCCTATGCCATTTTATATAAGGGACTTAAGCACCGATAGATTTTTGGTATCCTCAGGATATTCTGCAGCCAATCTCCCATAGATTCTGAGGGAGATGACCGTGAGACGACTGTGGACGAATCAAAAGCTATACATGGATTTTCCATTGCACAGTGATTGGCTCCCCTAACCCTTATGTTGTTCAAGGGTCAACTGTACTTTACTGATTCCACCAATTCAAAAGCTAATCCCATCTGCAAACATCCCCAAGTACACACTCAGAAATAATGTTTAATCTGGGCATTCTGTGGCCCAGTCAAGTTGACACCACATAAATTTAATGATCACACCATGCCAGCAAAACTGACCATTCTGTCCTTCAAACAACCTAGCTCTTTCTTTGTACAGTCTGGTCCATTTGGCTGGAACACTTCCCCCCTGGTTCTCCTCTTGATTATTATTTTTTTCATCCTTTGTTGCTCAGTGGAAAGATCACTGCCTCAGAGAGCTTACTGGACCACCCTGTTGAAGTAGATCACCACTCGATGCCAGGATGTTCTATCACAAAGCAGCCGGGCTGAATTTGTATGTATAGAGTTCTCTGTTTATTTTCTGTCTTATCTGCTAGATTGTAAGCACCATAACAGTAAGAACTATGCTTGTTTGTACTCCACTGTATAACTCTTAAGCATCTTGCTAGTGTCTGGTACACAGTAATAAATATCAATAAATATTTGCTAAATGAAGTTGTCGTAAGGAATTCATCTAATAGAGGATTCATCACCACAATACAATGAAGAGATGTGTGTTATGACAAAGGCAGTGTTGCCCTGGCAAACTGACTCTCAAAAAAAAAAAAAAAAAAAAAAGAGCCCTAATTTGTCATTTGCTGATTTCCATGGTGGTATAAATACTCCCATCACAGCTGATTTCAAGCCACCAAAGGTAAGAACTGAATTGCAAAATTCCTGAGAGCTTAAATTGGCTTTTCAAAGTTGATGCGAGCTGGCTCTGGCATATCAATGAAAGAAAGGTCAGCATGGGTGCAATGATTACCCAGGAAAGAGGCAATAGTTCACCCTGGGGAAGCTCAGCAAAGACTTCCTGGAGGAGGTAATACTCGATCTGTGTTTTGGATGATGGGTGTGTTGGCTCACGTTCTATGCCACTTAAACTGGCTAATGTAGCCCTGCTCTCAGTAGCCCACATTCAGCCGTCCTTGGCTCCCCTACTCAGCTCACCTTTGCTGGGCTGGGAGTTATCACCTGACAGTCCAATCCTCAGAAAATCCTTCTATATGGCAGGTGTTCTACTGGGTTTGCTTTGACTCCAACAGAGGAGGATAATATAGAGTACACTTAGTCACGGGAGAAAGGGAAGGGTTTTCCAAACAGAGGGACAGCTTGTGCAAAAGTGAGAGGGTGAATGCAATACAGCAGTTTGGTAAATCTCGATGTGTAAGGGAGGGAGTGGAAGGACACTAGCTCCTGACAGGCGATGTTGATAGGCTGAGGAGCATAGACCGATTCCCAGCCTGGGCAGAGGAAAAGGGAAAGACTGCTTACTTTTCCTGTATAATTCTTACCACAGCTGGTAATTGTGGGTTTTTGTGGTTATTGCTGGGTCTCATTTTTGGTATGGAGTCATTTGATTAATATCTGTCTCTTCCAAGAGACTGTAAACTCCACAAGGGCAGGGACGGCCTTGCTTGCTGTTATTGTTAAGCAGCAAAAATACAACCTTGTTGAATAACTGAATCATCTGGGGAATTTTTGGAAAAAAAAAAAATGCCCCTGCTTACCTACCTCACAATAGGGTGTGCTATAATCTTTCTCTGAACCTTCCAACCACGGTATGGGGGGGTGGGAAGTAGTAGAGCTGACTTCCATATGTTGCAAAAGTCACCCCAAAGGATTCATCCCTGTTCCCCTTCTCAAACTTAATCAAGTGGATCCTTTACAAGATTTTACCCAAAAGATGACAGGAGTAAAATGTTCCTTTGCATATAAGGGCCCGATGGTAGTAGGGAGGATTGGATAGAGGTGCTAAGGAACTGAGGCCAGTGAGGAAGACCATGCATGAGTAATCAGGTAAGAAATAATGCAGGTCTGAGTTAAATCACTGGCAGTGGGTGTGAAGACGGAAGAGGTTCAAGAGATGCTTGGGAGGTAGATTTGGTGACTATTTGGGCATAGGTGGTAGAGGAAGTGAGAGCGAGGGAGGAATCTAGGTTGAAGGTGGGAGTTTCACTTTTGAAATGTCTGTGGGACACGGATGAGGAGGGGTCAGTCTATGAAGTTGGGAATACAAACATCCAATTCAGGAGAGGAGGGGCAGGAGCCTCCCCTCCCCCAGTGAAATACCAAGAACTCTGGAGAACACGAATATATGAGACGGGTTAGAAAAACAATTCTTGGAGCCTGAGAGGAAGAAGGAAAACCTGACTAGTGTCAGAAAATAAGTGAAAAAGAATGTCCAACAGCGTCAAATGGTGCCTAACACTTAAGTCAGAGGACCTGAAACTATCTCTGATGAATTTGGCAACAAGGGCATTTTCTGTGGAGGCCGAGGACGAAGGAGGAAGTGGAGACAGCGAATTTAGACTATATTTTTCAAGAAACTTGGCTGTGAAGAAGAGGGATGGTATGACTGAGTGGGATGGGAAGAGATTCGAGTTCCTTTGTAGCTGAGCCCAAGGGGTAAGAGTTGAGCATAAGCACCTTCTCCACCTCTTCATTTTGCTAGCCCCGCCCCCCCACGTGACCCGTGGCAGCCGACGGCCCGGGACTACATCCCCCAGAAGGCCCCTCGGCGCGGGGCGGAGTCGAGGCCTGGCGCTCGCCCCCGAGGCGCCGACGGAAGAGCCAGAGCTTCGAGGAGGCGGCGGCGGAAGCGGGGAGCGACGGCGCGCCCGGTAACTAGCTGCCCCGAGCCCTATCCCTCCCTCCGTCTCTCCTTCCCTCCCTCCGTCCGTCCTTCCCTCCCTCCCTCGGCACCCCGAGCCGGGGCTCGTGGCGTTCCCTTCTCCCCTCACACCTGGGACGGGAGTTCCTTTCTCTTTAGTTTGCTACCGGTATTTTTTCCTCACGTGACACGCAGGGCGGGCCCCCGCCTGGGGCGGAGGTTACTGGGCAGCTCCCGCCCTTCGACCCCCGAGGGACTGGGGTTGCGGGGGACCCTACCGTCCTACCGAGGCCCTTTGGCTCTGCCTGGGGGTGCGTGCCCGCTGAGGGCCCTCGCCCCAAAACTCCCTGTAGCGGGGACGTTCTTTTCTGGGTTTCAACAGGTACTGAGTGGGTCCGTGGCCACTCGGGGGCCCGGGGCTGTGGGCCGCAGAGGCCGTCGGGAGACGCCCCCGGGCCGTGAGCGGTGTCCGGGGTGCGAGCCTGGGGCGTGAGTCCACTCCCTCCGCTGCCCGGGAGCCGTGGGCTCTGCGCTGGGAGTGAGCAGTCGGTGCGGGAGGAGGCACTTCCTGGTTTTCTGGGGCGGCCTCGGGACGCCCTGTGCCGGAGCGTTAGTTTTCCTCAGCAGTAAAGCCGCCTCTCGGAGTGGCGGAAGGGAAGACCCCCAGGATGGGAGCCTGAGGTCCGGGGGAGGCGTCTAGGTCTCCACTTGCCGGGCCTGTGGTCCTTGTAGCCCGTTTCCCGCAGCCCCGGCCCGGCTTCCCTCTAGGAAAGCGGGGACCGTAGCCCTGGCCCGCCCGCCCGCCTTCCAGTGTGAGAGAGCCCGTGTCCCAGGTGACCGGAGCCTCCCGTCGTTAGGTCCAGGTCAGTGGCATTTTAAAGTCACGTTCGTGTTTTTTCCTAAACCTGGAACAGGGTCATGCTGTTGATGAAGATGAAATGAGTTAATAAACAGGTGGCAGCCGGTGCCTGTAGAAACGAAGGTGAGCCGTTCACGTGTGCTGGTGCCATGTTCCCGGGGAGGAGGTGGCTTCAGGGCCCCGCCTGTCACCTGCGGAGGCAGTTTTTAAACTTCGTCTGGATTTTAAGGTCCGTCAGGATCTGGACACGTCCCTCCCGCCAACACAGACACACCTGTCTACCCCCTTGTTCTGTTGGCACATTATTTCAGGTGCAGGTGTCTCAGATTCGGTGCTCAGCTAATGCCTGTCTTCAGCAGGTCTGTGTCTTTCCCCCCTTCCCGAGACCGCCAGTGCTGACCCGCTCTGACCCCTGCACAAACCCCGTCACCTTGTGCGCATACCCGCTCACCTGAGGGGGGTGTGCTCACCTAGCCGAGGGACGTGTGCCAGGTGCCTGTTTGGCCTCAGAGTTCGAATTCAGAATATAAACAGCCAGTATTCTAATTTTGTTTCTTTTTCTGGCAGTTGAGCTCTGAGACTCTAAGCAGGTGGCTTTTGGTCTCCGTTTTCTTCCCCTTTTAGAGAATGGGGATTTTATAATAAAATTTTTATGGGTTTGGAGGAGGAGTAGTGAGGTGACCTTAACTTGTATTTATTCTGAAATAACTGGTGGGAAACTATTTGAATGTGGTTCAGAAAAGCAAAGAGGTTGGCAGTGCAGGGAATCGGTTGAATGTACAAAGTCGAACCAATTTGAGTTCCAAGTCCTGGTGTTGTGACTTGTATTTATGACTTTTAGCAAATTGATCTCTAAGACTGTTTACCAGTCTCTAAAATGGAGATAATAGCATTTACCTTGCAAGGTGTCTATAAAGATTAAATGAGATAGAAATATAAAGAGCTTAGTAGTGCCTTAGTAGTGCTGTTGTAACTGATGATGATGATAAAAACATAACTCTAGTATTTTCTTGAGATTCCTATTTTTATTTGTAAAACGAGGATAGCTATCCTTAACCCATAAACTTAAAATACTGTAAGTTTTCAGATTGCAGGTTTTTTTTTTTTTTAAGCAGTTGCAATTATGTAAAGATTATATAATGCTGCTTTTCACTTTTAGAGGTTTCTAAAATGCTGTTGTGAAAAGATTTTTGGGATGTGATGTTTCATTTATAACCTGTAGTAAGAATGTAGCTTTGTGTCTGCACATAGTAGATTTTAGCAGAACAATGATCTGTGTATGACTTAGATATTGACCATTAATTGATTAGGACAGACTTTTATAAGAGCATTGTTTTGTCTTGCCTTCCTCCCCAACTTTTTTTTTTAAGCCAGACTAATTGACTTTAAAAGTTCATCTTAATGGGGTAGGGTCCTGAAGACTGGGTGACATCATTTTTTCTTTTTTGAATGTGAAGCTTTTTAAAATTATAGTTGACATACAGCATAATGATTTGACATTTATATACCTTACAAAGTGATCACCACGAAAAGTCCAGTAACCATCTGTTATCATACAAAGTTTTGTTATGTTATTGACAACTTTTCTTCCCCATGACTTATTTATGTTATAACTACAAGTTTGTATTTCTTAATCCCCTTTATCTTTTTGCCCATCCCCTCACCCCTCTGGGAACTATCAGTTTTTCTGTATCTATGAGTCTATTCATTTGTTTAGTTTTTTAGATTACACATGTAAGTGAAATGATATAGTATTTGTCTTTCTCTGACTTATTTCACTTAGCATAACACCTTCTAGGCCTGTCCATGTTTTGGCAAATGGCAAGATTGCATTCTTTTTCATGGCGGAGTAATATTCCTGTGTCTGTGTGTGTCCACTTCTTTACCCATTTATCTATTGATGAACACCTAGGTTGCTTCCATATCATGGCTATTGTAAGTAATGCTGCAGTGAACATAGAGGTACATACATCTTTTCGAGTTAGAGTTTTGTTTTCAGATACGTGCCCAGAAGTGGAATTGCTTGGGTCCTCATTTGTCTCTTATTATAGCCTTTGTTTTAAAGCAGGGTGGGAAACCTTTTTTCTGCCAAGGGCCATCTGGATATTTATAACATCATTCTGGGGCCATACAAAATTATCAACTTAAAAATTAGCCTGCTATATTTGGTCAAACATTTAATTAACTCACCCTTGATGTGTTGGCAGAGCCAGAACAAATGATTTTATGGGGCTTATAATAAGGCCTGTGGGCTGGATGTTCCCCACCCCTCTTTTAAAGCTTATTTTGTCTGATAATTATTTCTTCCCAGCTTTTGTTTGTTTCCATTTTAATGAAATATTTTTTTTACATCCTTTTACTTTCAGTCTGTGTCTTTCGACTGAAATGAGTCTCATCTTAGGCCACATATGTAAGGGTCTTGTTTTGTTTTTTAATCCATTCAGGGGGGACTTCATTTTTTGAAGGCGGAAACTCTTGGTGACTGATGCTGATGGTGGCTTTGGTTTGTGTGTATTTGCAAGGAGTGAGAGTTTAGAGATACTAGGAGAAAAACCTAATAGGGAAAACTGACTTGTTGGTCAAAGCAGAGTCTTTTGGTTAAGAAATGAAATATTTGTTTTAAATTCTTCCAACCTGTTGACTGCAAGATGTTAGTAGATTCAGATGTTTAGGAAATGTTCCCTTATTCTCTTTTTTGATGTGGTATTCCCTGGCCTCTGCTTTGTCAGTTTCATTCTTATTCATGAACCTGTAAGATATTTTTCACTACAGATTTGTATACAAAAATGTAAGTGATCACTTTCATTAAAATCTACTTTGTGTGCTGTAATGTGTTTTTCCTTTTGTGTTTTAAATATTTTTTTGACTCTTACTTAAAAGAAGTTTTTGGAAGGTAGACACATTCTCAGCTATAGTATCTAACTGTACATAGTGACGCTCAGTTAGTGATGATTGTGCTGAATAGTTCTGAATAAGAACATTTTGTTGATTGTCCTATGTCCCTAAGGCATGCTCCGGAGAGGCAGTCTGGTATTGTGAAAACAACATAAGCTTTGGAGTCAGACTGATCAAAGTTTGAGCCTGGGCTCTGTTGTTTATTATTTTGTGACTTTGGTTCCTATAATCATTCTGAGTTTATTTTCTCATGATCTGTAAAACGGATAATAATGCCAACCTGCATAACTGAAAAATTTAGACATTGTTTGAACTCGGTAAATCTAGCCAGGCTTAGATAGATGGTGGTGTTACTACTATTTTCAGTTTTTATTGTATTTTTCTCATAGTTATGAATTTTGGTGATACATCTATGTTCATTCCCTCAATGCTTTACATGATCAGTGTATTTTTCTTCCCTCAGCCAAGGTTAAGGTTGTTGATCATGACCATGGTATCCTGAAACAGCAAAGCTAATTGGCCAACATGTTTGAATCTGTGACCCTGTCCTCATTAGCTCCTATTAACTAACCATTCACAAAATATCTCACCAGAATGAATAAGACTGCTATATTGTTGGTTCGGCATTCATGCGCTCATTAGACATAATAGAAGTAAATGAGCGAATACTGAAAGTAAAAGTATATATTTTTAATTACAAAACTTTATAAATATAGGACTAGCCCTCACATTATGTATGAAACTGGTGACTTGCAGGATGACATTGAAAACCACTAGCCTGAACTATAATTTAGACATTACTTTTAGCTGTTGAAAATGTATTTGTTGCAGACTTCCCACTCATAGGAAAGGTGAGAAGAAATGGAACTAGGCTCTTCATGTCTTGAAAGAGAACCCTACTCCTATGCCACCAACCACAAAATGTGCTCTTAGTGGGGAAAACAGAGTTCTCCACTGATGTTCCTGGCAGGATGGATGAAGCCTGGGTAACTCCAAAGAGCTTATTGAATTACAGTGAAATTCCAGTTGTCAGAGCTTGAGATAGAAGAGAAGTTATAGGGTGTAGCTCAGCAGCAGTAAGACTGAATTTGGAGAGGATTTTCTCCTCAATAAAACATGGGCCAGTTGCTCCCAGCTCATGGTGTGCATTTTTCACTGTCTTTTGCTAGCCTTCTGTATAGTTTTCCATTCTTCAAATTCACTCTTCAGTTTTATAAATATTTGTTGTTCCTTCTGTATCTTTTTTTTTTTTTTGTAATGTCAAACACAGTTGGTTTCTGACAAGGGTTAAAAATATGGAAGCAGAGAAGCACTGTTGGAAACAGCAGGTTCTGGTATCTAGTAAGGTTCCCAAGTAACAGGTTAACCTGTGAATATGATGGTATGGTTTTTTGGAATAGTCAAATGGCTGATAGTTCATAACCATTTAACTTGGTGCAGAGGCAAAAATATGGGCAAAAGATTTGTTTCACTCCTTAATATGTAATTTGCCTCTTAGAAAAGAATATATGTAATGTTAATAATTGGCTTGCAGTTGGGCTGTTACAAGTTCTTTCCCACCATAAAAGTGTATGTCTTTTTTTTTTTTTTAACTTTTATTTTTTTATTTTTATTTTTTTCTCTTAATTAAATCTTTATTGTTCAGATTATTACATTTGTTCCTCTTTTTTCCCCCCATAACCCCCCTCCTCCCAGTTCCCGCCCCACCATCTGCCCTCACTCCCCACCCACTGTCCTCATCCATAGGCGCACGATTTTTGTCCGGTCTCTTCCCGCATCTCCCACACCCCTTTCCCCCCCAAGAATAGTCAGTCCATTCCCTTTCTATGTCCCTGATTCTGTTATGATCACCAGATTATTTATTCACTTGATTCTTAGATTCACTTGTTGATAGATATGTACTTGTTCATAATTTGTATCTTTACCTTTTTCTTCTTCTTCCTCTTCTTAAAGAATACTTTTCAGCATTTCATATAATACTGGTTTGGTGGTGATGAACTCCTTTAGCTTTTCCTTATCTGTGAAGCTCTTTATCTGACCTTCAGTTCTGAATGATAGCTTTGCTGGATAAAGTAATCTTGGTTGTAGGTTCTTGGTATTCATCACTTTGAATATTTCTTGCCATTCCCTTCTGGCCTGCAAAGTTTCTGTTGAGAAATCAGCTGACAGTCTTATGGGTACTCCCTTGTAGGTAACTGAGTTTCTTTCTCTTGCTGCTCTTAAGAGTC